GTAGAAATTGAGATAGATCGCGAACCTCTCAAATTGTTGATGCTTATCATTTGTATTGGTGTGAGTTAATGCCATCCTATTGCTTTGATTTGGGTGTTTCGGAAATAAAATTTGTGTTTGCCCTAATTTTTATGGAAAAACGTGTCGATTTTCACATCAGTTCATAACAATTTGATATCGGGACTCGAGATTCTAAGAATCAAATCGACAAAAGATAGGATTGATCAACTCGACAAATGTTGAAGCAAATAGCGGCTTACTGTGTGATGATTTCAATGTACAAGTGATAAGATCGTTGATCCAGCATTCCCTAGCGCACGAATAATGGTTTCTAGGACGTTGTAGTCGGGATCGGTGTATATAGACCCAAAACTCTCTTCATTCTCTTCCTCCTAGTTGGCAACAATTTTTTATGTCACGAGTGTAGTGTCCAGTTGCATGATTCGTGATAGTCTACAGATCGTCTGTAGCATCTCGTAGCTCAAGAAACCCACCCGGGACTCCCTAGCAATTGTTTAGGAGAAGGAGCAAGGATTGGCGATGATTTAGCTTTACCCGAAAGAACCTGTCATCGAAAAGGCTCATTCAGGACACAGGACATATTTAATGCTCCTTCTGATATTTAGACGTTATCGCACGTCCGTATGGAGCTTCTTGTGGCCAAGGGAAGTCACGGAATCTTTCTACACGGGCTACGGGAAAGTTAGGGTTCGGGACACCCTACCAGCACCATAGCTTAGGGAGATCGTTGGCGACGATTTCCCAGGTGAATGACCGACTATAATACTCATTTTTAAAGTTATGGGACTACATTTCACTCATATGGAGTCTCCCATAGCTTACGGATTGATAATATCCTCTGTATGGCGCTCCCAGTGCAATCAAGGTTTCGGTGATAGACCGACACATATGCACCAACTCTAGGCGCCTGGACGCCAACCCCGGGCGCCTGGACGCCAACCCCGGGCGCCTGGAAGTTCAAAATGCCTTCCTGGACATCTAAGATAGAGCCTCTGGAAGTCTGGTGTCAGTTTCCGGTGCATAGGCGCCAGTCCTGGATGCCTAGGCACCCAAAACAACAAAAAATGACCATTTTTTGATATTTGAGAATGTAGGAGCAACTTGGGTGATGCCTAGGTATCAGGAGCCTCGCGCAAGGGTTGCGGCGCCTGAGCGTTGGTCCCTTCCCAGGTCGCAAAAAAAGCTGTTTTTGGCTCCCGATTTGACCCCGTGGCAACTGAAATTGTAGGTGTGTGATAATGAGCCTTGGGGATGGTAAAAGAGGGTGGAAGATACCTCTTTTAACCCTCCTCTTGAAGCTTCCAAGGAGGTCTAATGAGGGCATTTCGGTCAAATGGAGGGGGGTGGGCTAATATTAACCGAGGGGAGCCTCATTTCTTAGGAGAGTCGCTCAAGCGTTCTCATTTTCATCGATGAGCTGGAGGAGAGCTTGGGAGGAGCTCCTTTGGAGAGCTTGGAGTTCCTTTGAGAGGCTTCTTCGGAGAGCAAGAGAGAAAGAGCTTCATCTACCCCAAAAGGAGAAAACTAAAGGAGTTTATCTCCCCCATTCTCTTCCCCTTCTTCAACTGCTTCATCCTCATCTCCTTCATCTTTCCTCCACTACTTTTCCTCAGGGTGCGAGGTGAACTTCTTCAGAAAAGGCTTGGCTAGCAAGGGACTAAGGTACCTACTCTCCTACACTAAAGCAGTGAAGTGGATTGTCATATACTTAAAGATGAACAATCAATAAGGCACTTTGTTTCACGGTACAGATATTAAACTACATAGATATGTAGAATCAGATCTGACGAGGGATATTGATGATAGAAAAAGTAGAACATGGTATATCTTCACTTTGACAAACACAACAATAAGTTGGACTTCCAGGGTACAGAAGATTGTTGTACTTTCAAGTACAAAAGCCAAACATATTGCTACCACTGAGGCTACCAAGAAGATGATTTAATTGCAAGGCTTTATTGAAGAATTGGGCAAAAAATAAGGGATTGGAAAGTTTCATATTGACGGTGTAAGTGTTATTCATCTAGCTAAGAATGTCGCCTTTCATGCCATGATGACGCGCATTCAGCTAAGATATCATTTAGTTCATTCCCTTCTAGAATATGAGTAGATACTCTTAGAGATGAAGCACATTTTGCTAAGATATCACTTAATTCATTCTCTTCTAGAAGATGCTCATAAATTCTTAGAGAAGATACCTACAGCTTAGAATTCTATAAATATGTTGAATAAGATGGTCACAAATAAAAAATAGAGCTATGTTTAGCTTCAGTTGGAGTTCAAAAAAGTTCATACCAAAAGGGTTGACCCAACTACAGTATACAACTATAAAGTTGCCAAGTTGGTGCAAATTTTTTAGAGGTGATTGCAATCAATTGCCTAGTGGGAGATTTTTATGTAATGGAGCATGATTTAGCAAGGAGAAACATCCACAAGTGGGAAACCCGACATCGACAGGTGAAAACTCGACGCCCAAAGAAACTTTTCTAGCATTCTGGAAACAAAGCATCCATAAAAAAAAAAAATTGGCGTTCGGAACAAGCAATCCAGCGCCCAGTATAATGAATCCAGGAACTGATGCATTGAATGCCAACGCCTAGGAGGGGCATGACGATGCCCAAATCACACTTTGTACCAGAGCGCCAAGCCCAACGCTCTAAAGCAGCGCCCCAACTTCTATAGCCAATTCTGCAGTTTGAAACTTAAGTTTCGAGTTTCTTCACTGCAGGAAGTGCAAGTGAACAGCATGAAGCAGAGTCGCGAGTTGTGAGTGGATTTCTGTGAATTTCTCTCGTGTGATCAAGAGAGGAACGTTCATGAATTTCAAGATTGTATAGAAGATTTGAGGTGTAGTGTAATATATACATTTCTCCACATTTTATAGTAAATTTCTTAGTGTTGTGTGATTCCATGATTTTTTTCGGTTAGAGAGTTTTTCCAAGTTAAATCTTTGTGCACTATTTTCAGGGTTTCTTCTTTATGTGCTTTTATTCAATTGTTTGCTACAGATCTCTCAAATTGGTGTCTCCACAATTATGAGAAAGTATAGTCCTCCCAACACAAACTGCTTGGCCGACCCTCCTTATTTCCTTTTTTTTCTTTTTTGTTCTTTTTTGGTTTAGAAGTGTTGTAAGACTACATAAAGTTTTAGTGGCTACAATGAAAGCCTATGGTAGTTGTTTGTACAAAATTTGGAGTGAAATTCCAAGTGTAGTGAGGCTTCATGACCGGCCTTAATAAGAAGGGGTTTAGTGAGCTCTCCAACCCAAGTCTCTTAGATGACTGATTTGATTTTTGTCTTGTTATCCACTTTGTGTAATATTATTAGAGAATCCTTTCTTGCATCTCTCTTTATCTTAAAAAAATAATTTTCTAACAAAAACCCAACAAAATCTCAATAAAAACCAATAAGGATGGTCGGTAAAGATAGTGAAAAAAAAAAACCAAGCATAATTCTAAAACAAACTTGTTGGCCCTAAACCCTCTCAAAATTTTTAAAAACATGTGATCCAATTTCACAAATATGCCTCTAGCATCCTTAAATATTTTTATCATTTTTTCCTAAGTCTTAAGTTGTTTTCCCAAAGCCCTAACCCTAAACTAGTCAAGTCGGACAGGCTAAGGTTCTATTGGACCTAATCACTTACTAAATATAGAAAAAATGTGTAAAATTTTTCAAACTTTTCAGATTTCGATTAGACACTTCTACTTAACATATCCAATATGTTTCAAGACCTGCAGTTGTTTATTTTGCTACACAACAAATTTGAAGTAAACCTTTTTGTTCTTGGGTTGGGCAGACTCCCTACTTACTCTAATTGTGTTATAAACCTTAACTACACTTCAAAATTAACCCAACCAACCCTTCATTGCCTTCCTAAGCCTTGAGGGAAGGGTTTTCTATTATAATTGTTCACTTCAAGTGATCTAACTTCAGACAACACCATAGAACCTTCCCTCAAGTATAATAGGTTCTATGATACTTGACACCTCATTTGAGTTAAGAATATTAGTGCCTTAAGACTCTGAGCAGCTTTATGATACTGATGGTAATAATCTGATTATTAAAGCACAAGCAAATAAAAGGTTTCCTATTTGTCTAGAAATACAAGAATAAAAAAAAAATTCACCCACCAAATTTCACCAAGCTACAAGCAAGGCGTAATAAATGACCGTTTTTGGAATTCTTATAATCTATCAAAGAGATAATTTCTTTCGTCATCATGCTGTCTTTAGTTATGTATTTGATGTTCTAATTTTACATCTGGCAATTCTTTGTAAATTCATGTTACTCATTTCATAAATCAGCTATAAAGTTTGCTTTACTATATTAAAAAAAAATAAATAACAATTCAACAAAATAAAAGTGGCAGAGAGACAATGATTAGGTTGAGATTGAGAAATCAATGTCGTTTGTCACTCCTATGATCTACTAAGTGCCGAAGTCGGCTTTCGTTCCATTCTAGTATTCCAACCACAACAAAGGAATTCTTATAGGGTTTCAAGGTCTCGCTAAACCCAGAAAAGCAAGTGTTAAAGTGTGCATGGCTCGGTATACATGATGGTGACACCATGATACATTCGCTTCAACTATAAGTTCCCCAAGTGAAGGACTACTGTCTGTTCAATGAAAAACATGTTTCTGCAGCTGTGCAAGAATTTTCCTACGTGTAGATAGGACCAAGATTTGATCTACGTTGAACTAAACTAGCTTTTCTTTTTGTTCAATATATACTGCGGAAGTTAACGTGATAAACATCTTTTTCTTAGTTTAAATAATGCAATAGTTTATGAAAACATCTTGACAAACACTGGTAAAAGAGAAAATTGAATAATGACAACACGTCAATATATGGAGAAGTAATGATCAAAGCAATAATAAGATAGCAAAATTCAATCAAAGAAAATAGAGCTATAAACAGTGACATGAATTGACATAGAAGTCTAATTTTAGAAGGTACTGTAGTAGGAAGGCTTACCTAGCTACAGTTATTATTACACCCAGAGAAACAAGCAGGCATCCAAGTACTTGGTTGGCACGATATCGTCTTCCTAGAAATAAGAATGACAGGAGAAGTTGCCAGACAAGGAAGGTCTGCAAAATATCGATCATTATGCATCCTGGATATGTTTCTTTTCACGTATAAGTGAATGATATTCATTAGAACGGTTATCACCTGTGATAATATCGGAATCCATGCCCCTGCTAGAAGAGCTGTTCAAAGAAAATGTGATATATTAATCGAAAGGGCACAATGTGTTCTTTACAGTTATATTAAATGAATTTTAGGACTGAAGAAAATTGTAATACATGAAGGAAAAAATAAATATTTTTCATGACGCACATTCTACATCTATAAATAACCTGAAATCTGGAAAGCCATATTTATGGGCCAGCCATTTAAAGATCCTTATTTCTGATCAGGCAAATTGAATGTAAACAGTCAATATCGATACAGTCTCAAAACTTACTGATGCATTGAAATGTCCAGATGATAATGAAACGGTGATTCGCCAAACTTTAAAAAATTTCATGCTATATGCTGTAAGGGCACACTTATAGTCTAAAATGGCAGAGAGAGCTCAATGGTGGAACCAAGCCTTAAAGAGAGGGGTCGCAAGTATGTAATAACAGTGTTTTAAAAATATTATAATAATAATAATAAAATAAAACATGATTTTAAATAAAATGAAATGAAAAGGTGGTGATGATTCGAACAGACATGTAGAAACACTCATGTCCTTAGAAGTTAAAAGTGGAGACGATCAAGACTGGCTCACTCAGAATAAAGAAACGACGGAGAAAGGAGAAAGCGAGTGAGGAATAGAGAACCAAAGATTGACAGAGGCAAGGCGAGGAAGAAGAAGAAGGGGAAGTGGCTTAATTTCCTCGAGCGACTTGTCGATTGCTGCGAGTGGTTCAAGCAAGCCCTCCTTGGGATGTCTTCGATCAATTGTGAGCAACAAACAAAGGAAGGAAGAAGACGGGTGGAACTATTGTATGCATAACAAGGCTTTGAAGCTAAAGTCGTATCTTGCATGCAAAACCTTAGTCAAAGCCCTGCATGCATTGCTACCGTGCGAGCGATGTCATGAGAGGAGGAGACCGAAGGAGTGCCTGCAGGGGTGATCGTTAAGCAGCTCGAGAGAGGAATACAAGATGAGCTTGTGTCTGAAGGAAGATCAATCCACTCAAAGGAGAGATGGATCAAGCAGTTGGTGCAAAAACAACTGCAGTGCTAACTGACAATGCTTGTGAAGCCATGCAACGAGAAGATCAAAGGTCGGAGCTTTCACAACTTGTGGATTATTTGACATTAAAGAATTTAGTAAAAGATGAGCAATAGAAATAGATGTACTCACTGGTACTTTTAGCTTGTTGTTGTTTTAATTTAATATTACAAGTTTAATAATTTCATTAAAAGATGAGCAATATAAGAGGAAATATTTATAGAAGACACGAACAATCTGACCTAAGATAAATGTATAACTGCTTTAATTTAATCTAATTTCCGTAGTGACTCTTCCATTTGTTAAATATTAATTATAGAGAATAAATACAGAAAAAGAAATTTTCCGCTGCCCGATCATCTGTATTTGCCTTGGTTAAATATAAACCCCGGACCGGGTCGTGACAGAGTACTCAACTCTAAGACTACTCTTTCCTTATTTAAAAATTATTATAAAAGTGCGTATTAAATTAAAAATACAATTAATATTATTATGAAATATTTAAGTTTATAAAAGTGTTTAGTGTATTATATAATATTAATGAATTTAGTAAAAAATCTTGGTAAGTGCCTACTTAGCAACTCTCTTGTTCCACCGCTGCCCGTGAGCCCGGAGAGGTTAGAACAACAACTTCATCCAACATAGACCACACTATAATAAGATTACATTAAGTGTATAATCCTGCTACCCAGTTACACCATGACAGATGCTGTCCCTCCCGCCTGATATGGTCCATGTTGGTCCAGCAATTGACTTCATTAATCTTGAGCAGTTGAAGCGACTTCTCCGCAAGATGTAAAGACCGCTAGCCACAATCTTCCAGCTCAGCAATCAGCACCCTCCTGCCTTTTATATGAAGTCCACCAACCTCTCCAGGAGTGGTCCTTAAAATGTTAAATTCACCGCAAGTGATACTGTTTTTCACTCTTTATTGGCTAAATTTCACAAATAAATATTTTATAGATTCTACCCACTGAAATAAAGAAAAGGTGTATCCTTCTATCATATTTTTCAACATTCATTTGGTTTAAATGAAAGTTGTTTTCATCAAGATCATTCCAGCAATAGGTGTAAGTCATGGCAACATGGAATGTAGAAATCTTTAACCATCATCAAATTACAGCGATGCATATAACTTATAGCTGCTTTTATTCTCTACTTTCTAAATAAGTAAAAAAAAGTAACAAAGCCACAAGTAAGAAAAACTAGCGAGATCCTAGGTTCAGGGTTGTAGAAATCTTAAAACAGGTCATACATCTTTAATTGGGCAAATATTTAAGGCAGAAAACTAAAAAATCAAAATACGGGCCACATAATTTTTTATTTGATTTATCATATCATCATTATAATGAATTATAAGAGTCATAGGTTCGATTTATAGAAATAGAATTTAGAATAAACAAAAAATGATTAAAAAAAAACAAAGGCGAGCAATCAATTGCAGCAAATACACAGATGCAAAAATTTATATAGTTCGGTGAAATACATTTACATTTACAGTCCAATAGAAATTAGAATATTCCACTAAGCACAAAAAAGCATATAAAACATACACATCATATAAAGTTTTGGAGAATAAGACAAAGATACCACTATCAGAAGAATGGAGAAGCTACCAGCCACCTGCTGCTAATGATTAGTGATAGTCAGCATGAAGACATGACTCCTCGTAATGTTCATAATTTTTTAAGAGGGAGAAACAAAAAACTTCGGAATATCTCATCCAGACTTCCACTATAGATTAAGAAGTTGATCCCTCTGCTTGTTCTTAGTAGCAGGAAGAACACTAGACCAAATATTACTCCTTTCTCTCTGTGAAGCACCCAACAATAACAGTAGGACTCTTCTATAGAGATCAAATTCCTAGCTGTAGCATAACCTGAAGGTCCTGTAGTTTCCTACACTATAGCAGTTGATCTCCTCTATTTTCTCTACCTCCATATCTCAATTTTGCATTCAACTAAGCTCTTATTCTATATTTTTCCACTTGTGGGATGCTTTGGGGGCAGCAATGAGTCAATATATCAAAAAATGATTCCATGAATTTGAAAACTCCCATAACATCACATGTAAGAGAAAACATCATCTCACATTTAAGACAAAATCTCTCTAGCAATTCCCAAATGAAATCAAATTTCAATCGAATAAAGAGGTGATTACTTCATCTGTATGGAGAGAAGCAAAAAAAGAATGAGATTAGGAGGCTTCAATAATTCAATAATCTCTCACTTGGAGATGGAATTTCTGTTGCAGTTGCTTGACAATCGAAGTCCAAAACTTCTCAATGCAACACCTCCAAATCAGCATGCAAGAAGGTTGACTTAAGCTTTACAAAGCCTCAATTTTTCTATGTGCACAAATTAAATAAACTTGATTATTAGATCTTATTCGCTCTTGATCTTGATTAGTTTTTGCACATCCTACCAGGCTATGTAGTTAATTAGTTAGACTTTATTTACATAAGTTTTGTGCTAGAATGTAAGGAAAATTCTTTACTTAAAGAATTGTACTTAGACTGTCATAAAATAATTTAACATCTTCATATGTTTTGTTCAGTACTCTGAAAAACTTCTAAGCTCGACCATCTTCTTGCTAACTTCAGCATTCTTACATACTCTAATTCTATTTTTGATAATATAATTATCTTCTATAGTTTCGAGACACAACTAAACGGGGGTGCCACCAAAAATATAGCTATAGCAAATCTCCTAAATCTACATAGCATCAATACAATTTCAATTCAGCTCTAGTAAACTTTAATGGGTAGTTAATCATACTTATAGTGCAAGCCACAAAAACAATATGTCTTTATCCTACTAAGTGGAGTCAGCTACATTAATCACTTTTCTTCATTGTGTATTATTGAGTGTCATGTCTTCATTTAATTATATAGATTAAGATCACTTTTTATACAATATGCCCAAGTATTTTTAGGTCTACCTCTACCTTTCTTAGCATAAGTTGAATCTAAAGCAACTACTCTCCTAATCGGATCATCAGATGGTCGACGTTTAATGTGATCAAACCAAGACGACACTCTCTAATCTTATTCGCCACCGGAGCAGCACCAACCCTATCACAAATATATTCATTTCACATTTTTCTCTAAGTGTGAAGCCACTCATATATCTAAGCATTTTCATCTCAGCAACATTTAACTTTGTTTTAGGCTTCTCTTCCAGAGGCCAACATTCTGCATCATAGAGCATTGCAGGTCTCACCATCATCTTATAAAATTTTTCTTTAAGTCTACGCGATACTTTTCTATCACATAATAGGTCTGATGTATTCCTCCACTTTAGCCTGCCAGCTTGAATTCTATTAATAACATCTCTATCTATATCACCATCACTTTGAACAATAAACCCGAGATATCTAAAAGTTCATACCGTTTAATGATTTGATCACCCATAGTTACAACTCTGCCAATATAGCTACTACTACTAAAATTACAATCCATTTGATCAATTTTAGATCTACTTAAGTGAATGCTTTAGACTCTAATGTAGACCTCCATAATTCAAGTTTTTCCTAAACTCTTTCACCAGTCTTATACACAAGAAGGATATCATCAGAGAAAAGCATACACTAGGGTGCATCATCCTATAAATGTCCAGTAAGAACATCCATAACTAAAGCAAGAAAATATGGGCTTAGAGTCGATCCTTGTAATCCAACAGAAATAGGAAAAAACTTGGTCAATCCTCCTTCTATTCGAGCACAAGTATATGCTCTAGTATACATATCATTAATGACTTGAATGTAAAACATATCAACACCTTTCCTCATTAAAGCTTTCCAAAGAACTTCTCTTAGAACCCTATAGTAAGCTTTTTCTAAATCAAAAAAAATCATATGTAGATCCTCACTCTCTCTACACTTCTCCAACAAAGCTTTCAATAAATGTATAGCTTTCATAGTATACCTACCCGGCATAAATCCAAACTGATTATGAGAAATCTTTGTATTATGTCTTAACCTATG